CTCTATCTCTCTCCCTTCCTCTCTGTAATAAATCAATAAAATATATTTAAAAAAAAAAAAAAAAAGAATCAACCAATGAATGAGTAAATAAGTGGAACAACAAATTGATGTTTCTCTTTCTCTCTCTCTAAGCAATAAAGAAAAAAAAAAGAAATATTCAATTAATTACTGTTTGTGAATCTTCTTTAGTTCCTGATATGAACAAATTGGTAAAAAATTGAGACAATTGGGAAAATTTGAACACTGATTAGATATTTGTTATTAAGAGATTATTATTAAATGATTAGATATGTAAATAGCATTGTGTCCTTTTTTTGAGTCCTCATAGAAATACATATGGATATGTTTATGGATGAAATTATATGATATCTGGAATTCAAAATGATTTTGTTTGTGGGGGAAGGAGAAAGTGGGTGGGGAGAGAGGAAGAAAGTGGGTAGAGATGAAACAAAGGTGGTCACAAGTTGGTAATTGTTGAACCAGATCATATGTACATGGGCATTCATAGTATCTCAACTTTTGGATATTTTTGAAAATTCTACATAACAAAAAAGATTTTAAAGAATTTATCATACTCTAGTTGTATTTCACAACCTATAATTTTATTTAATTAGGGAAAAAAGAAGACAGTTTACTCTAAGTTCAAAGACTACAGTGTAAAAAGCCCTTGAATTACAATTTAGCAAATCTCTAGATTTAAGTCATATATTAAGAGATGTAATTTCTATTATTTTACAAAGCAAACCCATTTAATATGGTAGCTAAAGTAAATATTAGAAGTAGTTATTTTTGACCTAGCTGACTGATAATGTCATAGTACTGTTCTTTTTATATTATATGGTAAAATTTAAGGGAATGGTGAGATGAGTTTGTGTATCTGCTATTGCTGATATCAATTGATACCTGCTTCTTTTTTATTTATATCAAAACAGTTTAGAACTTAGTTTAGTAATTTGAATTACATACTGATTATAGACAGATATAAAGAGTAGCATTTGAAAATATCTAAAACATCTGGTGCTATAATTTTTATAATATAAAGTACTTAATAGAGAGAAGGGAAAAAATCTTAATTCTAGAACTGAGGTTTATGCTTATATTCTTATAAGTGACTTCCTAATTCTGGTTCATCCTCATGTTTTATATATAGCCCTGCTTTGCTGCTTTATTTTTATTTTTATTGATTTTAGAGAGAGAGAGGAAGGGAAAGAGAGAGAGAGAGAAAAACATCAATTTTTATTGTTCTACTTATTTATGCATTCATTCTTTTGAAAAATTATTTATTTATTTATTTATTTATTTATTTATTTATTTTTATTGAATTTATTGGGGTGACATTGGTCAACATAAATATATGGGTTTTAGGTGTGGGTTTCTATGTTACAAGATGTGTACATTGCACTGTGCCCACCATGTAAAGTCAAATCTTCTCCCGTCACCTTATATTAGGACCGCCTTCTTCTTCCACCCCCTTCCCTCTGGTATCCACCACACTGTTCTTTGTGTTCACGAGTTTCAGTTTTATATCCCACATATAAGTGAAATCATATGGTTCTTGTCTTTTTCTGACTGACTTGTTTCACTTAGAATAATGTTCTCAAGGTCAATCCATGTTGTTGCAAGTGGCAGTATTTTATCCTTCCTATGGCTGAGTAGTATTTCATTGTGTATATGTACCACATCTCCTTTATCCAGTTCTCTATCGCAGGGCACTTTGGTTGTTTCCATGTCTTGGCCACCATGAATAATGCCGCAGTGAACATAAGGTTGCATATATCTTTGTGAATACATGATTTCGAGATTTTTGGGTATATATCCAGAAGAGGGATTGCTGGGTCATACAGTAGCTCTATTCTCAATATTTTGAGGAATCACCAGACTTCCTAGTGGTTGTACCAGTCTACATTCCCACCAGCAATGAATGAGGGTTCCCTTTTTTCCACATCATTGGTTGATTCTTGTATGTGCCCTGACCAGGGATGGAACCTGCAACCTTGTCATTTCAGGACAATGCTCTAACCAGCTGAGCTACTTGGCTAGGGCTTGGCTGCTTGATGCCCCCAATTGGCCCACCCCTTCATAAAACTGTCCAGTTTCTACTGGAACGTCTGTCTGGGCATTGTGTTGAAAGGGGCGACAGTAAGACCCAGTCTACCACTGAAACTTTCATTCTTTGCATATCTTTCTGTTATGAGACACTGAATTGAAGTAGGAAAAAGAAGGTAACAGTGAATTATGAAGCTAAATGTGATTTTGTGACATATTTTCATAGTAAGAGATTGGTTCAGTTAAGCATTTGCCGTTGTTTATTTCACTAGTTTATTTTACACCTTTTCTAACGCTAGATGTTATTCTTTTTAATCATTTCCAGTCTTAAATATGGGATATTTAGTTATGTTTTGGGGAAAAAAAAAATTCATGGGTTGAAAATCAGGATTTGGCTAAGAGAAGAAAACAATTTTTAACAGTATATTTAATGGTGTTACTTTTCTCCTTTTAGGAACTTGAAAGCATAAATGAAGATGTTCAAGCAATGAGTAGCTGTTGTCAAGATATGACAAGTCGCTTACAGGTACTGTATAATGGCTAGATTTTAACATAGTTCCTGGTGCAAAGTAACTGTTAGATAGGTCTACAAAATGTATGGATATCTACTACATCATGCCCTATAGGAAGTTTGTAATATTGTTCAGTTAACTCCAGAAACCTTTATATTTTGATCTGGCTGGTACAGAGCTAACTGTGTAGAATTTTGATAAACCTTTCAATCCCACATATATGCTGTAAGTCCAGCAGAAATAATTTCTTAATAGAAAGCCTTAGGAGTAAGTTCAAATTTAAGCTTAATTATGATTCGTGCTCAGCCTAAAAAAAAAAAAAATCTCAGGAAAATATGTATAATTTTACTCATAGTCTGTTTATTAAAACTGTTCTGAACCTCTGTTTTGGCTGTGGAGTTAGCATTTAATCTAATTACCCTCAGTCATGTGATTCTGGAATAGGTTCTTCCTAAGTTAAGATTCAGTCATCATTATTTCTACTACCTTCACATTTTTATTACAAACTTTTATCTATAAGCTTCTCTTGGACCTATTGTCAGCTACAATTATTATAGGAAGAATCATGAATCTATGCATATTCCATAGAATAATTGTAGGTACTTGTGTGATCTGTCTGCAGAACTAGTCAATTTCCTGTTTCTAAAATTTTAGCTTTCCTAGTGTTTCTAATTTTTTTATTCTTAACTAACATATCAAATATTATTGCTATATTTATTTTCTAATTTTTAGATCTTTGTTAATTATACAATACCTAAATAATCATATAAACTTCTATATATTCTTTTCACTTTTTTGTACTTACTTTTGTTGTGTAGTAATTGATTTTGTTTGACTTTTCTTTCCAGCACTTGCAAGATTTCCTCATAGCTTTTTATATTGAACTAGAGGCCCAGTGCACGAAATTTGTGCACTCGGTGGGGCGGGTGTGGGGGCGCTCAGCCCAGCCTGTGCCCTCTCACAGTGCAGTCCGGGAGCCCTGGGGAGATGTCCAACTGATGGCTTAGGCCCGTTACCTAAGCCAGCAGTCGGACATCCTTAGCGCTTCTGTGGAGGCGGGAGAGGCTTCCGCCACCGCTGCTGAGCTCACCAGCTGTGACCCTGGCTTCTGGCACACTGACCACCAGGGGGCAGCTCCTGCATTGAGCGTCTACCCTCAATGGTCAGTGTGCATCATAGCATCCGGTTCGATCGATTTGCATATTAGCCTTTTATTATCTACTTATATAAAAACCCTGGGTGGTGGTCATCACGACCACAACCACCGCGACCAAGTGGAAGGAAGTCAGTCCTGCAGGGGATGTCTTGGCAACGGCTTCTCCCTCCCCCGAGCTGTTTCCCAGAGCTGTTTCCTGTAAGGGTGGGGTTTGAGGCAAGAACCCGCCCTGGGAGCGTGAAGGCATATCTTTCTAAAGTGTGCCGCACCAGCATGGCCAAGGGTGAACCTGAGTGGGGGCGGCTGAAAGGCTTAGAAAAGACAGACAAGAGAATGAAAGCCGGGTCTCGGTGGGACGCTGCTTCTCTGAGAGACAGCGACCACGCCCACAGCCATGCCTTTATTTTATAGCAGATGCTACGAGGCAAAGTAAGGGTGTGACCAAGATGTTTATAACATTCTCGTGGGTTTCAGTCCTACTCAGCTACATACACCTGAACTCTATCAAGCCTACATCACTCAGGCATGTGGGGCCACGTGTTTGGACCATAGGTTCAAGCTTACAACTATAGCTGTTGGCTATAATTGTGCTGGGAGGGCCCTGCCCTCCAAGCTGGGACTTGCACGTGGCGATGAGAGGACTGTGCCCTCTCATCAGTCCAAGGCTTGAACCTGTCCAAAACACTGTAGCGGCTCCCCGCAATAAAGTTTTAATTATGTTTCTTTGTTACTGATGTTGTGGCCCCACCCCATAACAAAGAAACAATTTCCGGAGGATGAGGCCCAGGAATCAGGATTTTAAAAAGATTCCCAGGTGATTCTAATGTGCAGCCAAGGTTGAGAACCACTGCTATAGATAATATTAAAAATATATCTAAATGTGCAATTCTTTGTCCAAAAAATGAGCATGTTCAAAAATTAAATGAAGAAAATTTGGATATACTCAATGGAGATTTTCACACATATTTGAGTGATGATTCCATTGATTCCACAGATGATGCTGAAAAGGAAAATTTTCCCATCGAATTTCTTAATAGTATTACTCCTTTGGGAATGCCGTGTCATAAATTAAAATTGAAAGTGGGTGCAATCATCATGCTATTGAGAAATCTCACTAGTAAATGGGGTCTTTGTAATGGTACCAGATTTATTATCAAAAGATTATGACCTAACATTATCGAAGCTGAAGTATTAACAGGATCTGCAGAGGGGAGAGGCTGTTCTGATTCCAAGAATTAATTTGTCCCCATCTGACACTGGCTTCCCATTTAAATTGATTCGACGACGGTTTCCCGTGATGCCAGCATTTGTGATGACTATTAATAAATCACAAGGACAAACTCTAGACAAAGTAGGCATATTCCTACCTGAACCTGTTTTTGCACATGGTCAGTTATATGTTGCTTTCTCTCGAGTTTGAAGAGCATGTGATGTTACAGTTAAAGTTCTAAGTACTTCATCACAAGGGAAATTAGTCAAACACTCTGAAAGTGTTTTCACTCTTAATGTGGTGTACAGGAAGATATTAGAATAAGTTTAATCACTTTATCAGTCATTGTTTGCATCACTGTTGTTTTTATATCATGTTTTTGTTGTTTTCATATCATGTTTTTGTTGTTTTCATATCATGTTTTTGTCGTTTTTATATCATGCCTCTGTTGTTGTTATATCCTTTTGTTACTGTTTATTTATTAAATTTATATATTATTTTCATATACATTTTACTAATTTCCTTTCATCTCTCACACTTCTATTATAGAGAAAGGGCAAATAGCAATATTAAAATATCTCTGCTAATTAATTCCCTTTTTAAAAAAATATATTTTATTGATTTTTTACAGAGAGGAAGGGAGAGGGATAGAGAGTTAGAAACATCAATGAGTGAAAAACATCGATCAGCTGCCTCCTGCACACTCCCCACTGGGGATGTGCCCGCAACCAAGGTACATGCCCTTGACCGGAATCGAACCCGGGACCCTTGAGTCCGAAGGCTGATGCTCTATTCATTGAGCCAAACCGGTTAGGGCAATTAATTCCCTTATAGTGTGCATGAATTTCGTGCACCGGGCTACTAGTATAGGATATTTAAAAATATTTTATACTACTTATTGTTTACATTCATTATTTTTTAATTTAATTTATTGGGGTTACTGTTGGTTAATAACATTTTATAGGCTTCGGGTGTACAATTGTATAATACATCATCTGTATGGCATTGTGTGTTCACCATCCTAAGTGCAATGTTAGGTGGAAAAGGACAAGAACCATATGATTTCACTCATGTATGATACATTCATTTTTTATTCTCAGATTAGAAGGTGTTATTTTGCAAATCTTAATTATTGGCACTAATTTATTTAGATATAGTGTTAATAGTACCCACTTATACTATCAACTCTAGAATAATGTTTTCAATTCATTTATAAAAAGAAGTATTTCTTGGTATATCCCCTCTCTTTTACATTATAGGGTGTTATAATGACTTATAGAGTATTATAATTTAATTAATTAATTTTTCTAAATGTTTGGATTTAGGACATTTTAGAAATTAATATTATGAGATACATTCAGAAATTTAATCAGAAATCTTTTGGTATGCTATGGTTTATCCCTTTGGCTGTGGTTGTACTTTAATAAATTACATTTGTAGTTTTTATAATTTAATGAGAAATAATCATCTTTAACACTGAAGATAAATTGACTAAAATTATTTTAGGGTAATCTTTACTAGTATTATTAAACATTAATTTGGAATTATTACCACAATTTATAAATGAAGAGTCGGGAAATAATGCAAAAATTCTAATTGCATAACATTTTACTCAAGTATCATATTTCAGTGATTAGTTGATGGTGGTGTTTGTAAGATACACCCTCTATTTAATAATTAACGAGGCTAAAAAGAAGCTAATAAGCATTTTATGATATTGATTTAGCGAAGCACTGTTTTTCACACATATTAAAATATGTTAATAAGTTTTAGAATTGAAATATAATATTTTAAAAAATTGTACAAAGCAAGGTAAAGGGTGGAAGTGGATCTTTAAAGCAAAATGACATTAGGAAAGATAAACATTTGAAGAAGTTATTGGATTTGAAGAGTAATAATTTTAGAAGAGTATCACGGAAGCTATCATGTTTGGCACCACTCATTAAAAGTTCATGATCTGCTGAATTATCTAGGTTTAAATCTATTTTCTTAAAAATATCTACTATTTCTTGGGCACTTAATCTGGTTGCAAGGAAAACAGACTCAATTAGCTTCCTTAGAGATGGGGGTGGGGCTCTGTTAATGACTGACGGGAGGTAGATAAATCCGTAAGAGAAAATGTCATTGACAATCTGGACTTGGCCTTTAAGAACCCAGAACTAGGTGGTGGTTGGGGGGTGTTTTTAAATCTAATGCAGCTCTAGAAACATTAGCAGCAGAAGTTTTCTTTTGGACTGACCCAGCATGAAAATGACCCCCAACCACCTTCGTGTGTTTTTTTCTGGTATTCTCTCTTTAACAGACTGCCCTCTACTCTGTGTGTTTTTGTCTAAAGTTTTACATATGTCTCCTTTTTCCCCAATTGACACCTCCCCCCCACCCCCAAGCCATTCCCACCTCGGGCAAGCCCCCACTGGCCCAGTGCCTGTGTCCATTGGTTATGCGAGCATGCATGCATACAAGTCCTTTGGTTGCTCTCTAACCACCTCCTCCCCTGCCATTTGTCTCTGGATCGATTCTTGTTCATCAAATTATGTTGATCATTATATCCCACATATGAGTGAGATCATGTGGTATTTATCTTTCTCCGACTGGCTTATTTTGCGTAGCATAATGCTCTCCAGTTCATCTATGCTGTTGCACATGGTAAAAGTTCCTTCTTTTTTATAGTGGCATAGTATTCCATTGGGTAGATGTACCACAGTTTTTAAATCTACTCATCTGCTGATGGGCATTTAGGGTGTTTCCAAATCTTAGCTATGGAAATTGTGCTGCTATGAAAATAGGGGTGCATATATCCTTTCTGAGTGGTGTTTCTGGTTTTTTTGGATAGAGTCCTAGTACTTTATAATTTTTATAATTTCCAGTTACTAGTGAATTTATGTATATACTAGAGGCCCGGTACACAAAAATTTGTGCACTCGGGGCGGGGGGGGGATCCCTCAGCCCGGCCTATGTCCTCTTGCAGTCTAGGACCCCTCGGAGGATGTCCACCTGCTGGTTTAGGCCCGCTCCCTGGGGGATTGGGCCCAAGCTGGCAGTCAGACATCCCTCTGGCAGCCCAGGAGCCCTCGGGGGATTTCCACTTGCCAGCAGGGAGCAGGTCTAAGCTGCAGTCGGACATCCTTAGCGCTGCTGAGGAGTCGGGAGAGGCTCCCACCACCACCGCTGTGCTGGCAGGCGTCAGCCTGGCTTGTGGCTGAGCAGAGCTCCCCCTGTGGGAGCACACTGACCACCAGGGGGCAGCTCCTGCATTGAGCATCTGCCCCCTGGTGGTCAGTGTGTGTCATAGTGACCAGTCATTCCCAGTCGTTCTGCTGTTAGGGTCAATTTGCTTATTACCCTTTTTTTTTTTTTTTTTTCTTTTTTTAATATATTTTATTGATTTTTTTTACAGAGAGGAAGGGAGAGAGATAGAGAGCCAGAAACATCAATTAGAGAGAAACATCGATCAGCTGCCTCCTGCACACCTCCCACTGGGGATGCGCCCGCAACCAAGGCACATGCCCCCGACTGGAATCGAACCCGGGACCCTTCAGTCCGCAGGCCGACGCTCCATCCACTGAGCCAAACCGGTTTTGGCTTATTACCCTTTTATTATATAGGATAGAGGCCTGGTGCATGGGTGGGGGCCGGCTGGTTTGCCCTGAAGGGTGTCCTTGATCAGGGTGGGGGTCCCACTGGGGTGCCTGGCCAGCCTGGGTGAGGGGCTGATGGCTGTTTGCAGGCTGGCCAACCCCCCTTTAGGGTGGGGGGTCCCCACTGGGGTGCCTGGCCAGTCTGGGTGAGGGGCTGAGGGCCATTTTCAGGCTGGCCAAGCCCCCCGGCGACGGAAGCTCCCAGCCTCTCCTTTTTTCTTTTTTCTTTTTTATTCTGGGATTTATTTACCTTCTATAATTGAAACTTTGTAGCCTTGAGAGGAGCTCAGAGCCTGCCAGGGCGGGTGGGAGGGAAGCCTCCTACTCACTCCAGCTCCGTGGCCACGGCCAGTTGAAAGCAGGTATCTGGGGTTTATTTACCTTCTATAATGGAAACTTTGTTGCTTTGAGTGGAGCTCAGAGCCGCCGCGGCAAGCGGGAAGTTTGGCTTCCTCCATCATTGGGGCAACCAAGCCTCCTGCTTGCTCCAGCTCCGTGGCTGCCGGCCGCCATCTTGGTTGGGTTAATTTGCATATAGTCGCTCTGATTGGCTGGTGGGCGTGGCTTAAGGCATAGCAAAGGTACGGTCAGTTTGCATGTTTGTCTTTTATTAGTGTAGAAACTCTTGACTCAATATCCCCTCAAGGCTTAGACCCTCTGTCTCTTTTTGTCTTACAACCATTTGTTTCTTCTCTCATTAATAACTGCCTTATTTCAGGTTTTTGAGAGAATCTGTCTTTTGTTTTAATCCACTTTATAAATATTTGCCTGTTCTTGGATAGAGCACCTTATTTTTCAGGATTTTGCTCCTGATTCTTTCAGCTCTGGCTTGTGGGAAGGGAGGACTGCGTGGTATGGAACTTGGTCAGGAGCAGCCTGTGTCTTTTAGGTAGGGCTGTTTCTAATCTTCACCAAAACTCTCTATGAGAGGTAGTTTTTATATCTCAACTCCCAAATTTTTATCTCTATCTTGGCCATTTCTGATGAGTATTTCAGTGCCTTAACTTGCAACTCCATTTAGAGGCCTCATGGTGTCTCAACATGTGCATAACAAGTCATATTCTTCATCCTTAACTTGCTCTTCCAGTGCTTCTGTTTCACAAAAAGCATCACAAATTGTTAAATTCCTTAGTCAGCATCCTGATATCTTTTTCTTTCTTGTAAGCCTTAGTATGATGTATGTTTTGAGAACATTGAGCGAGTTCTTCTTGGTAAAGGTAGTATATGAGCCTTAAAACTTATGTTTTAATTACGACTCAAGTGTTTTTATAAACTTTTGAGTTCTGGAGTATGATCTCCTTTGCTGTAGGTCTAAACTCCAGTAAGTGGTAGTATTAGTTTTATGAAGTATAATAACATTGAAATGTACTGATATTAGGTATGTTTATAATTTTAGGCAGCAAAAGAACAGACTCAAGATTTGATAGTAAAAACCACTAAGCTTCAAGCTGAAAGGTAAGTTCTTCTTATATATAATCACCCTTTCATTAATTTGGAGGTTAAATGGAAAGAAAATTATAGACAAAACCAACTCAAATTTAATTCAAAATATTAAAAAACATGATTCAAAATTGTTATAACATATAAGGTTTAAGCTATTGTCCAACATAAAACTTGATATTGAGGTTAAGGGATTTATTCCTTTTTTTGGAGTTGACTATGTGTTGTTTATTATTTGCTATAGGATTAAAAATGATTGCTATTTAAAATGTAGGTATATTTTTAATATATTTTTATTGATTTCAGAGAGGAAGGAAGAGGGAGAGAGAGATAAAAACATCAATGATGAGAGAGAATCATTGATCAGCTGCCTTCTGCATGCCCCCCACTGGGGATCGAACCCCAAACCCGGGCATGTGCCCTAACCAAGAATTCGAACCATGACCTCCTGGTTCATAGGTTGACACTCAACCACTGAACCACACCAGTTGGGCAGTATTTTTAGATTAAAAAAATTTTTTTTTACAATCATTGTCTATTTTGTTTTTAACTATGATTTATTTTCTCTGGTATATTCAAGAGGTAATTGTATAAATTCTTCTTGGAGTGGTTTACAAATAGGTATACTAATATTTGTTGACTCAATCAATACAATATGGAGTCATGTATCGTAGTGTGTATTATATTCTCTTGTAATTTATTGTTGGTTTCATTGTATCTTTTCTCCTACTAAATTGTGAGTTCCTTGAGAACAGTGACAATTTCTTACTCTCCTTGCGTCTCCAGTGCCTAACATGTGGATTCAATAAAAAATTTTTGAGTGCATGGATGTGGAATGCAATTATTGTAATGTCAGGGAAGGAACATAAAAACTGAAAAATAAGCATTGTATTGGAGCGTATAACATATATGGGATTCTGATTAATGTCTACAGGAAGAAATATTAGAACATTGTTCTTCTGTTCATATTTTTTCAAAACTAAGTAAGGTTATGATCATTATTTTAGTAAGCCTATCAGAGTGTTTTGGCCTGGTATACTTTTAGCAAGTGAAAATTTGTGACATTCTAGTATGCTAAGAGCTACAGAAATGTTGTACCAAGTGGATTTTGTGTGACTGTATCTAAGGAAAATTACATAGCAGAAATTATGATAACAAATTCCTGTGAACTGGCAGAGGTGTTTTTTTCCCCATTTTTAAATAAATTTTTAAATTTTTTTTACAAGAAACTTTGTTAAACAATTAGCTTTAGAAATAGAAATTCAGTGGGCTTATTTGGATAACATATTATCCTCATTCAGACAGTAAATGTATACAGGATATGAATATTTTTCTAACTGGTGTTGAAAAAGGTCAGTCATTGTGATAGCTGATGCTCTGACAGGTAAAGTTCAATGTAGAATTGTCTTCATAGAACTGCATCTTAACATTTCCCCTTAATATTTAGATCATTGATGGTCCAGAAAGACTAAATCTACATGATCATACTTCCATCTTTTTTAATACAATTGAAATAATTATTTATTATATATATTATTATCTCTTGTAAAAGCCCACCCGCCATTTCTCTCTGAACTGAAAAAAAATCTCTGGTGAATGTTTGTTTCTTTTTGAGGTATACTGTATTAACGTGGAAAGAATGTAGGCTTTGAGGACAAAAATCTGACTTCTAATCTAAATCTCATTAGATTTTTTATTTTGTACAAGTTATTTTTTAATCTCCCAGGGCCTCAGTTTCCACCTCTGATAGAAGAGAATAATGTCTGTGTGATGATTAACTAATTTATATAGGTGTAGAACGCTCTTGACATGTATCAGGAAACTGTACTCCTCCATCCCCCTCCTCTTTTGTTAGATAAAGAAACCTGTTTAGCATAGCTTATTTCTAATAGGCTGTGGTGGCTAGCAAGCTTAGGCTCTTTTGTGCTTAATTGCAGTAGCTTTACTCAGCTATGTTACTTGCTTTCTCATTCTATCTGAATATTTCTTATTTTATTTTTTAGTAGGTTTTTTTTTGTTGTTGTTGTTTTTAATCCTCACCTGATGATGTTTTTTCATTGATTTCTAGAGAGAGTGGAAGGGAGGGAGACGGCGGGGGAGAGAAGGGGGAGTGGAGGAACATATGTGGTAAAATTAAAGAGTAGTATGATTTTATTATTAGAATTTATTCCATCATTATTTTAAAAGTTGTCACCTGGAGATCCAGACCCTTGCTTTAGCAGTGTGGTCATTGTTAAGTATATTTTTGGGCCAAATCTTTTGCAGATTTAGAACCTATGGTTCAAAGTATTTATTTTAAAAGTCAACTGTGTTATTGGGAATTAACTTTAATGTTGTATGATCAAGATAAGTAATACTTAAGGGGATGGGGGGATGGGAAGGGATTAAACAAAAATTTTATATGCATATATGCATTACCTATGGACACAGAAAATAGGGTGGCGAAGGCCTGGAGCGGCGCAGGAACCGGGTGGAGGGGGGCAATGGGGGAAAAAAGAGGGACATATGTAATAATCTCAACAATAAAGACTAAAAATAAATAAATAAAAATGCCATTGCTTTCTCACACCACGTAATTTTAAAAAATAAATGCACAGTATTAGAGACAATGTTAAACATTGAATTTGTATAAATATCAAATATATTTTTCAAATTTTTGGTAGAAATTTTAATAACCTTTTCTTCATAACTTTTAATATAAAAATGTATACTTGAAATGCATACTATCAATTCCTGATCAAGACATTTTAAGAATGAGCTCTTTGAATTCTTGATTGTAATCATCAAAGAAAACTTTGTTCACACAAGTAAATGAAAAAAAGTATAAATGTTTTTATAATCATTTTAAAGTTTACAAAAGTTGAAGACTAATAATTCTTCCTTTTCTTTAAATGGCAAATGTAATGTTCACATTCTTGTGATAATATAAATAAATGAATTTTGAAACCCCCAAAAAAAGTAATACTTGATTTGGTAAAAATAAAATCTATGCTAATAAAAGGGTAATATGCTAATGAGACTGGATGTCTTCTGAACATCCTTCCTGACAAAGCCAGGGGCGTGGCTGACCTGCAAACCGCTGGCGGCCTTGCCCAGGCTGGCCCCGCCCCCCAGGGGGGACCCCACCCTGATCGTGGGCGTGGTCGGCCTGCAAACCGCTGGCGGCCCCTTGCCCAGGCCACCCCATCCTAGCAGGGACCCCCACCCTGATCGGGGGTGGGGCTGGCCTGCAAACCCCATGGCCCCTGCCCCAGCGGCCCCATCCCCCAGCAGGGACCCCCCCCCCCCCCCCCGATCCGGGTCCCCCTTCAGGGAGGAGCAGCCGGCCCCCACCCGTGCCACCAGGCTCTATCTCTATATAATAGAAAGGGTA